AGTCCGGGAACTTTCCGGACAAACTGTGTATATGCGTCGCGCGCTCTCCTCGTTTCACAGATTTGAAGTTCGATAAATTGATGTGGAAAAGAAACTCAACCCTTTCCTAAAATAGTACATTTCTCTCTCAGATCAACTCTTTTCAAGTTTGAATAAAAATCTGAAAGATGTTTTCTTTTTGTTAACGAGAATATCGAGATTAAATTTCCAGAAAAAAAGAACAAGAAAAATTTCGCGCTTATTCGTGCAATTCGCCAAAAGAAAAACCCTCAGCAATGGAAATATCGAAAGGTTGAAGTGTAAGTCGGAATTTTTTTACAGTTTTTTTATCTACAATTTATATGGAGATTTCGACACACCTTGCGCGACATCAATTAGCTTCCGTATATGCGTCACGTGCGCGTGATATGCGATGATTCATAAAAATCCGACGTTTCTTAATCCAAACCACAGCAGAAATTCAACTTCTTGGCCCTTTCCTGTTTTCACCGCTCCTCTTAACATTTCTTGAAGGTGACGAGAAATCCAAGCTCTTCGGGGCCATTAAGCCCGGCAGTCGTTTATCGTGCCGAATACAAAAGAGCACTGTTTCGCGCCAGTCAAATGGTTCTTCTGAAACCGTACTCGGAACTAAAGGGCTCGATGAAGTTTGCATACTTTTTGTTCTCTCTCTTTCTCTCTCTCTCTCTCTCTCTCTTTCCTCTTCTCGCGTCCCAGACAGTTCCTGTCGAGGATAAATCTCTATTCGTAAATGGCATTCTTTTTTCCCTTACGTTGCGCATAATCAAACTGTGTCTTTGATATTTTACGCGTTTTATCGCTTCACCAGCTTATTTTTTAAATTGAAACTTCTTGAATATAACGAAACGTTAATTTGTAATTCGATCATCGCGTGTTACTTAACACGTAAATTAAAGTGAAAAAAAAAAGAAAAAGCACATTTTTCTGCTTGACTGAAACATCTGCTGTTAAACGAAAAGTTGTACGAACTTTCGGTGCTGTCCGAGAAGGGAAATAACAATTTTGCATTCCGGATAGAAACATTAAATTGTATAAATATATATTGTATAAAATTAATATTTTGTTTCTTAAAGCTGAAGAATACTACTGTTGTACACGATGCTTTTTTGTTTTTTTTCAAATAATTTATTTTATGCTACTTTGCGCTCCAGTTTTTTCTAACACTTGTAAAATGTCAGGTCGGCGGATGGACGTGCCAGCCGCTGGAAAGCACGAATCCGAAGGAAAGTACGAAGAAGCCGGTAATCATTGTCGTCGTCGTTATCGCCGCGGGCGGCGCAGAAAGACAACTAATTTGACGAAAGTCGGCGGTTTCGCAGGAAGGAAACGGGAAAGGAAGAAGCGTAGTGTAGGAAAATAACAAGCACATGAGTTAAACTTAATCGCCGTCATTTTGCGGTCGGTCGGAACGAGCGGAGTGGAAGAAGTAACAGGAAGAAAAAAAAGAAGAAGACGACGTCACGAGACGATCGGACACGGCAAAAGGAAGATCCCACTTCGTCACCGGAGACGGTAGACAATGTAGACGTACAAGTCACGTGAGCGGTTTCCCGTCGTCGGTTTGAGATTCGTGAGTCCTATTCATTCATCGGCAGCACGCGGTGAACACTGCCTCGATCGGGAAAGCAAATCACGAGATATCGATCGCGTCTTGATTGGCAGGCCTCGTAGTCGTGACAAGTATTTCTCTTCGAGTTTGCGTCAAATGTATAGAAATCGGAAAATGAATTGGCCAATTTTTTAACACTTCCGAAAATATCGCGAAGAAAAGCTACTTTGAAAGAATAACGTAGAGAGCTGAGTATTTATATTTTGTATACTTTGGATTCGCGATTTCTTTGAGAAGAATAAGAATTTAGTGAAATTTTCATTCTTATTATCATCTTGTCTCTTTATTTTGTGAACACCGACCTGAAGAGACTACCTCGAGAGAGATCAGCCGGTGGAATCTCGGATCTTCTCTACTTGTCGCGCCTCGATTATCTCGGAAGAGAGACTCGGAATCGCCGGTAGAATCTTTATCTTCGCTACTTCGTGAGAATATCTCGTTATTACATAGCGAGAGGACGTGAAACAGTTCCGTTGTTGTTCCGAATAGCACTGCATCATGTGATCTTGTGAGGAAGTTACGGTACTCGATACAGTGTTACGCGATTTTTATCATTGTAAGTTCGCGCGCAAACTCCCTCGATACTGGGAAACGTCGAAAAGTCGTCGATCGTGAATGCTGCTTTCGGTGTTGCATCTGTGATTTTCTTCGAGAAATTGGACCGATGTGCTCTGTCGCGAAGATGATACGCCACGTCGCCATTGTCGCTCTTTTCACCGTCCTCGTCAACGGAGCACCGAGATCGTCGATCATTTACGCGGACGACAAAGTGGTGAGTGATCTTTGGTCTTTTATTTACTTTTACCGAATCTTGACAAAATTAAAGACAAAACACTTGTGAAACATCCTCATACATTTTCTATTAACAAATAATTATTGTTCTCTTAATCTGTGCATATTTGTGTAGATTAGACACATTGCGTGTCAATATCTCTGCTGTAGTCTCTCACTATTTACTATATTTCATTATTCTGTTCACAAATTTTAAAGCTTAGGTATTATAGGATCCTCTAAGGTTAACATTCAGTTATTCAAATAAAAGAAATGATTTATTAAAATATTAATCACAATTTAATTAATTAAATATGAAAACTTATACACGTAATAATTGTGAGCGATATCAAGTTTGTATTGGAGTAATCTTGCATAATCTTTTCGAACGTCTTATCGAGGGATATGGACTTTGTGTTTGCATTACATATTTAATTGTTACTTGTTTTTGCTGTTTGAATTTGATCTGTCGATAGGTAATCAATACATCGAATAGAGAGAAACGGAAATCATTTATCCAGAACGGTTGCACAATATACAATCTCATGTCGTAAAAAAATTCTTAGCTGTTATATATAAATATTCGAGTTTTTTTGGATAAAATTAAATGGTAAAACTGCAGAAAAGGGGAGCAGCTTCCGATGACCTTGAGCTTAAGATATATTGTCAAGGTCGTGGCCCCGAGTAAGGTTCCGCAGGTTTTATCCGGCGGTCATTGTTTGTTTACAAGTTGTTATAAAAAAATGTTTTACAAATTATCCCTTATTTTTCGACATCATGTACATTGAAAGAGTAAACATATTGTTCCTATCGGAGCATTACATACCTACGTACGACCTTGACATATTATATCAACATACGTCTTTGGTTTGATTTCCTCATTGACAACATGTATAGCTTGCCAGTTCGTGTCGAACCTTATGTAGAATTTTGCTAAGCATGGAAAGTGTATGCGTGGAAGAAGTGTGTTCCGCCNCCCCTGCGGGAGGGCTCCACTATCCAAAAACTAGACACATAGGTTTGGGTTGAACCTCGTTTTGCGTGAGAAATGCATGCGTGGATGCAATGAAACTGCGATTACGTCGCTATATAATTTGTTTTGATTTCTTCGTTGCGATACACGTATATACCTATTATTTTCACGAGGGGGGAGCAGGGAGGAGGGGCAAAGCCCCTCCACCTGCGGGGGGGCGCAGCCCCNCCCTGCCTACACCCTTACAACATAAAAAAAATGTACATGATGTCGGGAAAACAAATTTCTTTATGAAACTTTTTTTGTTCATAACTTTTTTATAAACAATGACCGCCGGATAAAACCTGCGGAACCTTACTCGGGGCCACGACATTGACAATATATCTTAAGCTCAAAGTCATCGGAAACTGCTCCCCTTTTCTGCAGTTTTACCAATTAAATATTATATAAAATTAAATATTTCAACTGTCAAGAAAACAAATTTGGCTCCAAAAACTCTCCGTTTCTAATTATACTGAATCTTCGCTCGAATAAAATCCATTTAAAGATAAAAATGCAATATTTCAAACTAGAACAGTCTATCTAGGTTTTGATCGTTCGCGTGGGACGTGCAGATTTGTAAAACAAAATTAATACTTTTAGTTGTAGTTATATAAATTTTTTTTTTCGGACAACAAAATAAACCGTTTGAAACACAGTTTTAAACTAAACAATTCGTGTGCGTTTTATACATGAAAACAATTTTATTCTTCACGATTTATACATATTCAAGATAGATCATGAATTCGAGTGTTTAATTTCCTAGTTAGTAGAAAAAGACAGTCCCATCCTCTTTAACCTTGCTTATCTGCGGGCATCGATCACATTAATTCGTAAGGCTGAGCACATATAGACAGCGTCTTCGTGATATAGACGCATAGGTTCGTACTCGTAAAGCACTTAATATCTAGCAGAAACTCGTAGAGCGGCGATCGGCGACGTTATACACGTCTATGTACGTATATGTGTATACACACATGGAATATCGTGACGGTGTCATGCGGAACTCCCGGTGGGTTTTGTGAATTTTATCAGTCTTGTAGTTTTTCGCTACATTATAACGTTCCGTTAACGTCGTAATACACGTCACAAAAATCGCTCGTATATACGTTGTGAAAACGTGACGTATAAACGCATCTATAAAATTTTAATCTTTTTAAGCGCCATAAGAAAATCACTTTGTGTTTTTCACGTAACAAATATAATGTAATTGTCGGTGGACAGAGTTTTACTGAAAAATTCTTTAGACTCCGAAGTATCTATTCTGGAAGCACGTTTGATGAAGTTCTTTCGCGACTCGCTTCTGTAAGAACAATTTTTCTAATTGGAAAAGAAAGAGATACGAATTATACTGCATTATAATGCATTTCAAGGTATTAGGGAACCGCGTTGGTAATACAAAAGGATTTTCCGTCGCGAAAGTCGGTCGCCCGGGAATTAATGGTACCGCGTGTACCACCACGTTTCACGGCATTAACTTTTTCCGTGGGTTTCATGCGCGACTTTATTGTACTAATGACTGCTCAGGGAGCGAGCTCGCTATGCGAACAAGTATATTTTCTATTTCCGCGGACAAAAAAAGAGAATATCTTTTCGGCCCGCGTATTTTTTGCGCGAGATATCCATTAATCCGATTGGTACATGTGTACAAACCTTTGGACGCGCGTAATCACTCACATCTGCGTTCGTGCGATAATTATTCGTCGTTAATTATCAAATTCCATCTGCGGACCAAGCAAAACGTTTGAATTTTCAATAAGCAGTATCTCGCCGTCCATGTTGGGTCGACACGAGAAGCTTAAAATGTCTCGAAGAGACTGTCTTGCAAAACAGGCGGAAACTAACCAGCGGAACTTAATATGTCGCTGCAAGTTAACGTAGGTTCCTCGCAAGGGAAGACAGAATTACTTACACTTTGCGGGGCTTTAGGATTTTTATGCCACCACGCGTTTTTTTCTCTCCGCGCAAAAGCAGAGTGTAACAATTTCGTTCTCATCTCTCTCTTCGAGAAAACGTAATTCAAATTTACACCGTTTGCACAAAAAAAACCATCTACTTTGTTTCTTGACTCAAGCGCGCAATTACAACTTGTATTTTGATTTTACTGTCATTTTTAGTCGCCTTGTTAAGAACTTTTTATTTTTATCGCACGGCGTTTCGTTAATGACTATTACGGGATAATGATCGCCTGCACACACGGTCGTAATTGAAAATATTCTGCTCCATTAGTTCCGATTACATTGTTACATATTTATTGTGTACTCGTGACAAGCGCGGGTGCATGATTTAACTCATTAGGCCGTTTCGGGAAATGAGAACATATCGTGCTGGTAATAACGTGTAATTGTTGTAGCAAGAGTTTAACATAGCATATTGTGGAACGTACACGAGATCAGTGTGGCTGGAATTGTGACACATCGATAATCTCGTTTGCGATGTAATGGAAAACACAACATATAACAATACAATAACGCATAATTTCTTGCAACAATATTTGTGTGTTATTTGTATTTAATTTATAAAGCTTTTTTGCGTTAAAAAATTCTTATTATTAATTAGATGGTTAAACGGAATGTTATACATATTTGGTGTAAACAATTATTTAAAGCGGACTTCGCGAAAGCGCGTTGTCTTTTCCATTTTGTTTTGTTACATATGTTTGCTCGGCGAACGGATCTTCTGCTCTATACGAATAATGTTCGTTATTTCTGTGAATTCAACTGAGTTCGCGCTTATACTACGTACAACGATCGATTACTTAACTAAGGGTTAGCTATAGTGAAAAATGGCAAACATTGACCGATCGTTGACACGTCGTCAAGTGAAATATACGCCGAATAAACACGCTTCGTGCGAAATTCTCTTATGCTATGTAATTCTATCTTTCTCTACACGTACATCTCAATGTTGAATTTATAAATAAATGGGATACGTCTTTATATCAATCGAAATTAGAATTAATTAATTAAAAAAAAGTTTACAAATCATATTTGTACACGCACTCCTAAAAATAGAGGATATCATGTCCATTATGTCGAGGATTGAAACAAAAAATAACCTAATATTCAGCGATAAAATATTATTTAACTTTTCAGATTTCTTCCATAATTTTCTGGTAACACGTTTCGAAACGCGTCGCTTCCGAGGAAGTTATGGAAAATACATTCCCACGTCGTCGTTGTCGAATACGTGATCCATTCGGTTCATATCCGGCGAATGCAGCGCATATGACACGCGTTATCCCTTCGGTTTTGTGCATGCAACTCGTCGGAATATTTCGCGCTGTCGGATATTCCGTCAAAATTTCGCGTAGCTACGCGACTGTCACGTTGTTCGCAGTTTTTAATTTTTCCCCTCTTTCTCTTTATTCATTTTTCCCTTTTGCCGAAACTGCAACGGGCTAGAGCATAGTATTTACATTCTAATAACGTTCACAACGTCTACGTATCGTGTTATATCCATCAACAGATATTTCATACGAATTAAAAAAACAAAACCAAAAAAAAAACAAAAAAAGAACAGCGTCACACTCAAAATTACATTTGTAATTGACAGTGGTGATGCATTTTTATTTAGTTGCAACGTGGCAATGTACTTCTTTGAATACAATTTTTTTCCTGGAAAATTAATTAAAAAAAAAACAAAATTGACGCACAAAGTTGGGATTATATATATTGTAGATTTTGCAGAGTAGTAAATCTGAGTAATTTTCCGTGTGTGTACGTTTGTTTTGCAAAATTTAAATTGGCTAAATAAGTTTTACATTTTTTATGGACAATAGATATCAATCTAGATGAAAATTTTGTTCTATTATAAAATTAATTTTATCGCCGTTTGTTACTTAACAACGTTTACTTAATTCATTCAATAAAAATGCAGTGAGATAGCTTTCACATTTCTTTTTTTCTTTTTTTCTCTCTTTCGTAATTTATGCGTAACGCGTAATGCAGTAAAGAAACACGTTCTGCAGTAGTACGTCTCGTTATTGA